CACGAGGAATTTATACGTCGGCCCGGTCACGGGCAATTGCCCTGCTCGTTACGGGCCAGAATAATGTCGCGATACGTGCACGCGAAAACACGGCCCGGTTAGAAACCGGGGGAAGGAAACAACAGGCCGATGACGACTGGATCCCGTGGTCGAGACGAACTGGCGACAGCTAGCCGCCACACCGCTCCCGCGTCTGGCCTTGCGCGTTATTATCGTATAGATTCCTCTAGTCAGCGGTCTACAATGTCGGTGAATTGGCAATAAGAGACGGCGAGCAACGAACGGCTCTCTTACCCGCGGTGGAAACATTAACTTCGTCGCGAGTCTTTGATAATCGATCCAACTATTCTTTCCTTTTTCTTCGCCAGGGTTGAGGGATGGCGAGAGCTTGAAGGAGATTGGCGTCGTGGTTTAGTCGGGATTTGAAACTATTTTTGACGGGAAGTTCGGGAGATTTAGAGTGGATATTCGAGGAGGAACTTCTTGACGTTCTGAAGTTTTGATGTTCTTGAAGTTTCGGGTGGTCGAAGTTTGAAAGGGTAATTTTTGGGTGCTTAGATACGGAGGATTTATCGCGTCTTTGTGTACCGAGTTTTACGAGGGTTTTTTGATCGAGATTTTGAAAGAAATGAGAAATTTTCGTTTGATAGGAATTTTGTGGTAGCTAGTGGCCCTTTAAATTATCGTTTCAGATAGTGGTTTCGAAGTAATGCTGTTTCTGTTGTAATTTGTCGAGAGAAAAATTAACGATCATAAACTTTTAGTAGATATTGTAGGTTGATACAGGATTAATGGTCAAATTTTAGATCATTTTAATGAATTCAACGATCTAGGGATCTATAAGGGAGAATTTGCTAACCTTTTAACAACGAAATATTAAAAATAGGAATTGATTGTGTTTTAATGAATGTAGGACTTGGTAATTAAGCCTTTACTAAGAAATTTCAGTGTTTAAGGCGAAAAATATAGGAATCTATTGATAAAATTGAATTTTTGAAGTTTGAGCGTCTGCTCGTGCGATGACGCAGGATTTTTGGCTCAGCTTTGGAAAACTTTGGCACACAAAGTGGGCTGAAGTTCAAGGTACAGGATAGTCTGGTAAGACGAGTGTTTATTTGTGCGAGAACAACTTTTAGAACATACTTTGCTCTAAACATAACTTCTGAGAACGCGATATCTGTTTATATGACGATACAAAATTTCTGTCTGCAATTTCGAACAATTTTCAATATTCTGAAATGAAATCACTCGTTTCTTAAAAAACCAAAAAAAAAAAAAAATTGAAGTCATGAATTTCAATTTTCGTAGAAAATTTCCATTTCCTCGGCAAATTTTTGCTAATTCGAGCAGACGTGGTGCGTTCGATCGCAGCTCAATTTAGTTCTCCGCTGTGATAAATGAAATCTTATACCCGCTGGAGTTATATCACAACGTTTAAAAGGGCACTCGAATTACAACCGCTACAGATGCAACAATCTGTCACAAATGAAACTTAAATTCCATTCTTACATTTCTTCCAATCAGAAACTCAACTTCGGCAATTATAAAAATTCGTTTCACGTACTATACCTTCAAATTAAAAACAAGAAACATTCTTCTCCAAATCATCCTTCTGCTACGAATAAAGCATTTATAAAACGCAGACAAACGACGAGAAAGAAGAAAGAAAAACAATAGAAACGGAATAATTGCTGTATAAAAATTGGTCGAAAAAGTTTTTCAAATATTGCAATTTTTCTTAGCGCAAAAACAAAGAAATCCCGATCACGTCGATCATTTCAATCTATTCCACGTTGGAAATACGGCGCGCGGTATTGTTCAAGCGCGATTTTACCGGCGAAATTACCCTTCCGTGCCGCGTGAAATCGAACATCGATAACGAGCCCGACGAATTCGACATGTTCGACGCGGAAAAGGATTAATCGTGGTTTCGCAGCTAAAAAAGAAAACGCGCGTTTTTCTCTCTTTTTTATTTTTTTATTTGTTTTTTTTTTTTTATTATTTTTACTCGAGCCTTTTTTTTCACCGGATCGTTGCTTCAGCGAGACCGGCGTTCGTAACGATTCGAAAGCGATTAAATTAATAAAACGACACGCTGAAAGCTCTTCGTGTGGCGAATTTATGCGCAGCGTCGTTAAAATAAGGAGGAGAAAAGAGAGAGAGAGAAAGAAAAAATAACGCGCACCGAGCGAAACGCACGATTGAACCGAGGAAATGCGAATTAATTGTTTCCACCCGTTGGAGAGGAGGAAGAAGGGAAATCGAGAGTTTATTGTCTAGTATTTTTGGTTTAAAATAGAAACCTAACAGCTGCTAATTTTCATTTATGCTTTCATTATACGTAGACCGCGAGGTTAATCGCGTCATTGTAGAATAGAGACTCGCAATTAAATGTCGATTTACCTATACATCGATCTTATTGTTTCGAGCGACACTTGATATTACACAATTTCGAAACAATTCGAAATATTAAAGTATCGATGCATAGGTTTTGTTCAAATAGTAAGGAGTAAATTGAAATTTACCGGTAGCGAGAGGTTAGAGTGTTTGAACAAAAAAGAAACGAAGAACAAAAATGGAAAAAAGAATTGTTGATCGAATTGAAGTAAAAGAAAGGAAAATAATGAAATTATTGCTGTGAATAATGAAGAAAGTTTTGAAATACTTGCTGAATTATTGTATACCAGTGATGAAGTCAAACTTCGTTCGATATCGTTGCTCTAAATTTGATCTTTAAATAGCAATACGATAGCTTAAACTCGTACACTGCACGTTTATTTATTCAAATATTATTTGTCAGATAAATATAACTGTTTCTCCTATACGTATTGATTTCTTCCGCCACTGGTCGCTTAAAATTCATTCGTATGCTAGTTAATTCATAGCTATTCTGCCTTCACTTCGTCGCATATAATCCTGCAGAAACAATTTTCGTCGAACTTTCCTAAGAATTTTATACAGAAAGCAGTTTGTCCGAAATCTACCGCAAAAATTGAATTATTTCATTTTTATTAATCTACGACTTGGCTATATTTCTTCCATCGACTATACTCACTTCTGAACACTCTACTCTTGTTCCAAACTAAACAGTCGCACGAAATTCTATCACTCCTACTGCATATAAAAAAAACATGAAAGATACACCCTATCTAAGAGAAACAGTAAAAGAAAAAGGAAATTCCGAAGCAAATAAAAGCTCCCCAACTGTGGAAGAAACTTTTTTCCACGTCGAACACCATAAATCCGTGTGTTCCATCGACGAAGAAACTGTCTCTCGAATCGAAAGAGTATCCTGTCAGCTCTGTTCGGGGGTCGATCGAATAACCTGTCGCTTTTCATCGCCTACAAGATGGCGTGTGTCCGTTTTACGGCGAACCACTCGAAAATTTTCAATCCAGTCGATAAATCGGACTGGTTCGGTGAAAATTTTATGCGCGACAAAACGCGACCGGATGATCCGGTGGAACGTTCGATCCGGATTGCGTTCGTATCGCTTCTTATTCCGTGGATATGGCCGAACGTGATCGTAAACCGACGCCGGAAGACGCTGCTTCGGTTAATGTCCTCCTGTTTATGGATCGCGCCCGTGTGTGTTTTAAGAGGGAAGTTTCGCTGGCTGTTCGCGCGGCCTCTTCTTCGCCGTGAAACGACGATATTTAGTAGCTGTCGAAGTGGTCCACGGCATTCTCTCGTTAAATGTGTCCCTCCCCTTGGTTATTTCTGTTAGGTAAGACGCTCGATGGAGGCGACTGCAGGTGGTTGATAAATTATTAATTGCAAGGAAATTGAATTTGTTGGAAGTAGATGGGGGTGCATTAACAAAACGGGAGAGCTTTTATGCGTTCGATGATTGCTATGGGAAGACTTTTGGGGTTGTCGGGTTTTAAGAAGGAAGATGTTTAAATTATCGAAGAGTCTAGAATAGGGTGGGTTGAAAAACAACAACGGTGGTTGCGTTGTAAGTGAGAATTTTTTAAAAGTTACTTTAGTTGGGAATTTATGAATGAAAATTGTTTATAAATTCGTGGTTGGGCTTCAGAGTACTTTTTGGAGTTGCAGAGTTTTGGCAGAGAAGAATTTAGAATAGGGTAGTTTTGTAGCAAAAGAGTGGTGGCTGCTTTGTGATTTTTCAAATGGAAAATTGTAAAGGAGAATTTTTCAAAATTGTTTTAGTTCTGAATTGACGAATGAAAATTGTTTATAAATCCGTAGTAGGGCTTGAGAAGTGTATACCTAGCTTTCCATGTGTTAAAATATGAATGTTCGATTCAGTTTGTGGATACAATTATTCGCGGCGGTAATACAATCATGACGAGTGAATAAATGTATGTTTAATCGATGTTGCATGCATGCTTAGATTCCGTGCTATTGTGGTATAATTATGGTATTACGCAGTGTGTAAACCGTGGTGTATAATTTATAGTAAAATACATAATCGATATCTCTTAGTTTTGTGAATCAACTCTGAACATGTTAATTTCCGAACGTACAAATGCACGTTTATGTTCTCGTTGAATTCTATTAGGCTCTTCGCTTGTACTTCTCGCTTACCTACTCTAAACTATTCAATTCAGTATAAAAGAAAATTGACGAAATTATATACAACAACTACAAATATTAATATTAATATTTCTCATACCGTTGCATTAAGAAATTACTTAGCTAAATTCACTTCAGAGTATGGAGACTATTTATTATTCAACAGCCATACAAATTCATCATTTAGTGGTGTTAAGCCTAATTATTAAACAGATTTATTTAAAATATAATGAAATGCTTGTGCACTAAAATTGAAAAAAATTCCAAAAGTGTGGAGTTAACCACTTTGACCTCAAGATGGCTCATATACTCAAGCATACAGGGTGGGCCACCTAAAATTACCACCTTAATTTCTCTCAGTTACACTAATTTACCCTCGCAAGCAGCGGAATCTCTCGTCACGAATTAAAAGGGACAAAGAACTCATCGAAATTAACCAAAAACCTCCCGTTGTTCTGCAGATGCTGTCGGTGAGCCCAGGAATGGAGGTAGGCAGCGGTGGTCACGGCGGCCTCGGTGGCGGACTAGAGGGTGATCCGAGCGGTGGTGGCGCCGTTGTGGGCGGGGGCGGTGGCGGGATCGGCGGTGGCGGCGAAGGAGCCACCGACGGGATGCAAGAAGCGATGGTCGCTGCGGCCAGGGACCGGGCGATTCGCGCCGGAAGTGTCCGGCAGGACCTCGCCCTCGACCTACCCCCGCGGCTCCAGCTTCCGGATGGCGAGGAACGTCCGTACGGGGCGCACACCGCCCTTCACCTGCGCGACCCGGAGCAGGTAAGCACTATCCTCGCCTCTTCGAATATTTATCACACCCGGATTTCTCCTAGCTAGCATCGCTGCCGAGTGTCTGGCCTGGCTGGTTGTTTGAACCAGCGCTGGCCAGACTAAGCTCTGCAGCTTAGCAAGTTTCTGCTATTCTGTTTGCATTAGAGCGGTGTGGGAATAGTGGCTCGACGCAGACGTTCATGTCTGTTCAGATAGATTTGAATTAGAATTGTTCCTTTCATAGCTTTTGCAATATGGAGTTTTGAGAGTAGGGATTGTCGAGGGTTGACGAAGATTGAAAAATTTGGTTAGGTTGATTTAAGTTTGTAGGGGAAGAAGAATTTTTCGAAGTTCTTTGGAGAAGTGTGGGGGAAAATTGGAATTTTTCTTCAGGCAGCTTTTGGATTGTCGATTTTTGAGAATAGGGATTGTCAAGGTTGATAAGCGTTGAGAATTTTGGTAAGGTTCGTTCAAGTTTGTAGGAAAGGAACTTTTTATTATAGCGCAATCGAGTCACGAAAAATATCGCTAAAAATTTTGCAGGGCTGCATTGTTAGCCCTTGAGCGCTTCCTACTGCCCGCGGGCCGCCAGTTGGACACACCTGTTCCAGACTAAACACTCGCACAAAATTCATTCACTCCCACATTCATTCAACCTTTCACATCAATTGGACAATATAAAACACAATTTCCCTATCTCCATAAACCCACCACGCCATTATCGTGCAAACCTAAAATTCTCTCAATCGCCGTCTCGATCAATTGCTCCTCTCTTTCAATAAACCAAATCCCTCCGCTCGCTATATTTCCACCTACATCCTAAACCCAAGAGAACGCACACAGATTTTCCACTCGACGATAGGAAGGGAGAGCGGCGTCGGCAGCGGAAATCTCCTGAACATAATATCGCGGTAACGTAGTCTGGTAGCATTTAATATCGGAATATTAATGGTATTAAACGGCGCGGGCGCAATTTTAGCCGATCAGCCCGACTAGTTGGATCCAGACGTTTCCCAATCGCGTTTTCATTTATCGAACGCGGCTCGATTAGCCGGCCGCTAATAAGCGCATTTTCGAGTAGCACGAATCGTGGGTAATAACGCGTGTAAAAACGGATAAATTTTCCACGCTTCGAGTCACTCAGATAAAATCTCTCTCGTTCTCCCCCGTGTGTTGGTCCGCTCCGCGCCGCGTTGCACTGTTCCCGTCGCCGCTTTATGCTCGTTTCCAGCGAGCTCGAGCGGGGTTCGCTCGTGTGTTCGAGAGTACCAACCGAGCCTCGCGCTGCTTGCCGATCGGCTCGCGAGCGAGTCAACGCGCGTGCATTTATCCCGTTCGGGGTTGCTATCGTTGCTTTAATATCGTAGACGCAGTTATGAAGCGTGCGCGGTAATTAGCTCGGATGATTATGATGTTTAAAGATTATTTACGACACACGTAACTACAGCGTACGCGAAAAGGGACATAAAGTTGCTCGTTAAGAGGATTCTCAGCTTTAGATGGATCATTGCTACGGCCATAAAATTGAACTGATTTTGTGAGTTTAATTGTTCCTCGAGTGTTCGAATACGCGTATGGATTTATCGATCGAGGAAAGAGGCGATCTTTTCAGTCTGCGCGATCGAAAACAGGTTTTTGTAGAGATAATGCGTATTATTGCGCTCTTCTTGTGATTTTGCTAGAGAGAACGTGTCTAATTTGCATTGAAATAGGAGGTTTTACATATAAAGGATCAGAATGATCAGACATTTTTTACTTATCTTGGGATTATCGTAATTGTTCAAGGTATTAGTATTCTTGGAGGATTCTGTGGCTCTTTGTGTTATATCTCGGATCTGACTTTTAGTTAATTAGCCTTGTCTTGGAGTTTTCGGCAATTGCGCTGCATAATTTTGTGTATCCCTCGTGTTAAACGTGATTACAATTTCTTCTCGCAATTTCCATTTTATTCGTGGCTATTATGTGACGTGTATCACTGTGTGCACTGATTACCTGCGCGGTTTGAGCCGAATCAATAACTTGAGCATCGCTCGTTGCCCCTTAGAAAAGGAATCGGAGAGTGCATGTATGTAAAACACTCGTGTTCTGCCTGTTTGCTACCCTTTTGCTCCTAAGACACTTTAAATCTTCTCCAATTAACCCTTTCCTTACCAACGGTGACTATAGTCGAGCGCTCGCTGTGTCCTACCGGTGATTATAGTCATCCATAAAAATGTCCAGGATAGCTAATTGTATATTTATAAAAAATCAAAGACTCTATCTGGCCTTCTTCTAGGCTCGTTTTGCATACAAACGTTGAGATACCTTAACATTTACCTACGTAACTTTCTTCAAATGCAAAATTTATATTCTCGCCAATTTTTATCGCAATTCGTTTAAAATTTCGCGAATATCCCGATTATTCGCGTTAGATAATAATGTCCAACCATTTCTATCACGAATTCTCTCACCATTCGATACACGTGTACTGCGGCAAATTTCTTCACCTCGACCGTTACACTCGCCCATCAAAATTTACGACCGGACAAAATTGAATATATCGTATCAGGTGGTGAAAAAGAAAAGTCACATCTTATTTGCACTTCATTTCCGCGAGTCTGACAGATAATTGAATGACAGCAGGTCTCGTGCCATTTCTGCCAAAGGTTGACGAGACGGCGGAGTCGCGTGTCTTAGGTCTGATCCGCGCGACGAAAGAGGCGGGCGACGAAGGATCGAGTTCTACCCTCGTCGAGGCTTCTGGATGCCGGCATCGAGCTGAAACACGCGCGCCCTCGCCGCTACTCTGGGGTCACGGGTTAGAATTTCAGTAATCCTACGCCCTTACACGTGTACTCTATATCGCGAGGCACGCTGGACTCTGTTAGTCTGGCAGACGTCGAGCTCGCTTCCTGGCTGAAAAAAAGATATTCGTTTGTTCGGTTTCCTTGAATTTCTCTCGGTGAATTTTTACGTCTCCAGAGCTCGTCGCTCTGCACACACCGTCGTCTCTCCCTTTGTGAGAATCCCGAATATTCGACGATCGCGTTTGACAAAGCAGGTATATATGTATATATTCTGCTCGATTGGCTGGTGTCACGATCGCGAGCGATGCGCAGCACCAGCCTCTAGCCTGGTCGATGAAGGATCGATTTTCGATTTTTGGCGAACCGCCGTTGAAACAAAAACGCTGCCGCTTCGCGTTTCGTTTATCTCGACGAATGCATCGCCTCTGGTGACGCTCGATGTTGAAGGGTTGTTTGCGATCCTCTGCTCGCCGTGTCGCGCACCACTTTCGCGGCAACTAAATATGGATTTTTTTCGACGGATGTTCCCGGGGTGTAGAAGCGTGCCCTCGCATCTTTAGAGGCGTTTTTTTTTTTTCCCTTTTTTTCGACGGTCGAGTTTGTGCGTTGGAGATTGTTGATTTTGAGCTGTTAGAGTTCGAGGGAGGGAATTAAAGGGATTCTGGGCTACTGTGAAACGAATGTTTGTTGAATCTTTACTTTTTAGCTGTTTATTTTAATTTAGTAGACAATTTGTCAGATATGTCACTCTCTGTAATTATAATTTGTGTAAATAAAAATTTTTCTAGAGGAGTGCAGATTTTAGCTTAATCGTGATAGCTTTGGAATGTTTCCTCTTATTATAAAATCCTTTACTCTTTGTCTTTTACGTTCCCAACAGTGCATTTTACAAGATAGAGTAAATTACGTTAAAGAGTTAATCAAGATGTTTCGAAGGAAAAAATCAGGGTGGTGTACTCACTTAAACCCTTTCTATAAAGGGAATTACATTAACCCTTTGCGGTCGTATTGCAACGAACACACAGTGCACATTCTTTCACCTTTACGTATGTTTCACACAACAATAGTGGTTTCATTTTACATAAGATTTAAAAAAATGTTACGTTTCTCCATCGTGTGAAAACTCCGCAAAGTCAGAATGGCCTTTTACGATCGCCAAGGGTTAAAACTATGCGAACTATCTTTCCGTTTCAAATACACCCCACATATACGAACCACCTAAAATTTAAAAAACAAAGAAAAATCCCCCGAATCCTAACTAAAATGCATCGCTCGCGTTTCAGGAGAGCGAGATATACCAGAAGTGCGTTCGACCGCCGCCAAACCGGACGGTGTTCGACAGCGAGAGTCCGCCGCCTTACCGAAGCCAGTCCGCGTTGTTGGACGCGCCGGAGCGGATAGTCCGGTGCCATAGCGCAGGCAGTTCCCTGTTGAGGGTGTTCCGGAAGTTCCCCAGCCCTGGCAGCTCGACGCCTGCCGTGGTGGTACCACCTAGGCGGCCAACCTTGTCCAGTTATTCCGAGTCCAGTAGCAACCTGAGCAACCTGTCCAGCTTGACGGTGGTGCCGTGCGAAACAGACGAGAGTCAACAGCATCAGCAGCATCATCATCATCACCATCAGCAACCGCCGGCGGCGCACCAGCATCAACAGCAGCACGTCTGATCCGAGGCGCGTTCGAGAAGGAGAGCACTCGAGGTCACCACGACGAACACGTCGTCGTCGAGTAGCGAGTTCCTCGAGGTCGATGGACGACCAAGGATCTCGTGGAAACGGCGACGAGCCGTCCCAGCCGTCGTGGCGGAACAGCGACGTGAAAAGATGGAGGAACGACGAGCCGACGACGAGGAGGACACTGGCAGCAGCGCCGAGATCGTCGTGCTTGTCCTACCCTCTTCGAGAATCCTCCAGCCGTCGTCGAGGATCCCTGAAGACTGACTCGCAGGAGAAAGTTTGCACGGTTGGTGGTGGTGGTGGTGGTTCGGCCAGCTGACGACGACAACGACGACGACAACGACGAGGACGAGGACGATGCCTCGTTTAAACGGAGTGGACGGGCGCGGATTAGAGCGCGTGATGAGAATCTCGCCGGCACACAAACATAAACACACATAGACACACAATCTTGGGACAGCGGAGAAGAGAGGACCGAGAGAGAATTCGAGGAATAATCTTCTTCCTCCTCCTTCTCCAACCTTCATCTCCTCCTGCTTGCCGTTGTAGCTTCTTGCTGCTACACTGTTCTTGTTCTTGTTGTAGTTGTTGTTGTTGTTGTTGCTACTGCTCCTCCTTTGGACACTAGTTTCGATGGTCCTCCAGCTGGTTAGAGAGAAAGAACGAGGAGGAGCGTCCTCGGCCGGAGGCTGATATCGTCAGAGTGTTGGAGAAGCAGACACGACGCAGAGAAGAAGCTAAAGGTGGAATTTACACACACAGAGAGAGAGACACGAGGAATAGCAACGGTGTGTGTTGAGCTGCGTTTCGTGGATCGATCCCATTCGGTGCTTGACGATGCTTCGTCAATCTAACGGCAATCCTAACAGGCCAGTCTCCTAAGCCTAGATCTCATGATGATTCCAAAGCACTCTAGCACGAGAGACAGGGTGAAGCTCGTGTAACGCCAGTTAAGAGAGACGAAGAGGGGTAGTTGTAAAACTGGATGGACCATTCTGAGAATGAGGAACACGATGGGAGATGTCGACGACGACGACGATGGAGAAATTAAGAGAGGCCTACCGGATAAAATAGACAAAAGAGAGAAAGAAAGGACTGACGAAGGAGAGCGATTCACGAAGCAGCTCGAAATTGAAGAAGTCGTCGTGGTGTTTTAGACAACAAATTGATGGTTTTGTCACATTGGCGGAGGACAACGAGAGATAGCAGCCGTGACAGTGACGTATATCGACCTGTGGCCAATCAATGAAAGAAGAAGAATAAACTGGCCGCGAAAAACACGCGCAATGTGACGAGAGATGCCGAAGAGAGAGAGAAAGAGAGAGAGACCAGTGCGCTGCGCCCGTTCGCTGGCCGATCCATCAACACTACCACACCAACGGGACGATTCTTGTTCACCAAGTATATATACATACGTACATGTATATGGCCTGAAAGCGTATATGTATATGTATGTCGTATATTTGGAAATTTGTTCGCTGCGAAAAAGACTTAGTAAATTATTTATTGGCGATAATTCGCGAGCCGTGGCACCAGAGATAAAGCGGCTAGGCGAAGTAGAAGAAGAAGAGGAAGGGGCGGATCCGCGGTTAGGCGCGCGCGACTACACGGAAAACGTGGAGAGCGGAGAACGCCGCACACGCTAGAAATAAAATGAATGTGTCCGCGTGTGAATGATGCGTCTCGTTTGCATATGTATGCGTGAGTGCGTGCGTTGCGTTGCGTGTGAATGCGTGAAAAAAGGTCCGTGAACTGGTGTAAAAGGGATGAAAAGTGACGATGAGGAGAAGAAGAACGGTTCAAGGGGGAGTTTGGGGAGAGAAGCGATAGTAACTAGGGAAGGGTGGGGGGTGGGGGAGAAGGAAATATCATTTGAGAGCGATGGTTAACGCGATGAAGAGTGAAAGCAAGAGGTAGGAGGAGATTTTCTGAGTGACTGATGGCGCGTGATTATATGGACCGTGTAAATGAGAGAAAGAATGGAGAATGTTGAAAGAGTGCGTGAGAGAGAGAGAGAGAAATGTTGGAGTGAAGAGAGTGTGTGACGGAAGAAAAGTAGTGCCAAGAGCGTATAAAAACAAGATGAAGAAGAGGAGGAAGAAAGATGATGATGATGAAAAAGAAACTCTGTAAATATTAGGTTAGGTAGTTCAATATCAATATAATTATTACGACTAAAAATGATATGCTCTATATACTTGATTAAAAAGTAATAAACCTTACACCACGCATAAACACGAGTTGGACGGGCCGTACGAAATCGCCCTGGGACACGCGTTAACGCTTTTCGACGAGGCCTCCGTGAGAATCTAGATGTGAAAGAGAGAGAAGGAAAGGAAGAGAGGGAGAGAGAGAGAGAGAGAGAAACTATCGTTTCGAGCGTTTCGCGAATAATCGACGGGTCGATTTCCTGAAATCTCCGACGAACAGAGAGTGTATCTGTTCGCCTCCTCCGTCCATCGACTCGCTCGTTCCTCCAACCCCTTTTTCTTTTTTTTCCCCTGTCGAAGAGGAAGAAGAACGCCTGATCGAAGCTTTCGGACTGTTTTTGCGAAGAAGAGGAGGGAGAGCCAGCGAGGCTCTCCCTCTCTCGACGTGAGAACAGATCGGTATTCACGTTTTAGTGATTGGTAACGAGTCGAAGATCGAGTCACAGAGAGGGATGATCGAGTCGGGGAGAGAGAAAAGAAAGGATGAAACGAGAAAGAGAGAGAAATGAGAAACGGAAATCGATCGGTCGAATAACGTCGCGACGCTCGTTCGGCTGGCGCGTCTCGCCGTGTTTCGAATGGCTCGCACGATGTCTGATATAACGCTACTTTATTATTATTCAGATAGATAAGGCTTCAGTTTTCTGACAAAGGGAAAAAAAAAAGACGAAGAAAATAGGACGAAATCTGCCTTGACGACGAACCGAGTGTCGACGACCGGCTTCGTTTCCACCGTTTTCTTTTCGAACACCAGCCTCGAGAGGACACGATCGTTTCTGTACAGATTGCTGTGGAGATTCTCGCGAAAGTTAGGGTTTACTGTAACTTTTTTAGATTTAGATATGCCTAAAGCTGTGTTAGGTGTATCGGTTAGACATATACTATTAATTGGGCGTGCCGTTAGGCGCGCCGCTAAACAGTGTTCCTGAGAACTTTTTTCTCGAAAGAAAAAAAGAAGAAGAAGAAAAAGTAACGAAAAGAATAAGAATGGAAGGAATGGAAAGTTTGGTAAAGATGGAAATTATTTTCTAAGCTTGGTACCTGTTACGTACCCAGGATAGATTCTATCGATTTTCAACCCAGCATCGAATGCTTCAGATTTTTTACTCGATAGCCATGACATTGTTAATTTTTAAGGTAGACTTTCGTGACTCGCGTGCGAAAGTGACAAAGGGAAAATGCTCCTGCGCGGGGAGTTGGACGAATTAGTGCTTTCCTGATTGAAAGGGGTTCAGCGTACTTTTTTACGACTTTGATATTTTTCTTGAGAAGCGATGAGACACAAAAGAATACGTAAAATATGAAAGAAAATAGTATTTTTATTGAGAAACATCTTCCAAAGTAGACATTATGCGTCAGCTAACGCTAATTTCACTTATAAAATAAACGATCACCAGAAAGGCCTTCGACACCTCGATAAAGTACAATCTTCTTACCAAATACAAAAAATATAGAAGCTCCACGGCAACCTGATAGAAACACCGTATCGTTAAAGAACTTAAACTAATCGCTGATCACTTTGTTTTCCGTTCGAACAGCCAATTTGTCGATTATTCAAAACGTGTGTGTGTTTATAAAGGAAATTTAAGAGAGAGAGAGAGAGAGAGAGAGAGTTTTTTGAGCGCGTAGACGAGCAAAATGGCGGCATCGACTTCGGTTCTTGACCTCGGGACAGAGCGAAACTACTGAAGTATCTCATGAGAAGTCACCAATTTATTGTAATCCTTAAAACCGTACGACGAAGGGGTAAAATTGCAAACAAATTACCGACAGCTTTCCCTCTCGATTCTTCCGTTCGCGTCGAAAACACGAGGTCCCCGTGTAAGACCTTGCAAAAGAAAAAGACTCGGAACAATTCCAAAAAAAAATTCCAACTCGATGGAATTTTTCCACGCTCCTTTGCACAAACTCATTTTCAACGTTCCGTCGAGGTGAAAAATTGAAACAAAAAAAGGAAACTCCTAATATAACCGGCTTCGTGTATCGCGCGACGCGAGTCGAGAGAATAGCACCGTTGAAGAGGCACGTTTTTGACGTCGAATATATGCGTAAAACCTAAAAAAAAAAAAGTAACGAAAGAAAGAAAAATGAAAAGAAACCAATGCCGATGAAAAAGCGTACAGTCGATCCTATATGTGTATACGTGTAAGTCTCTTCTCTGTACGTACGCGTGTACACATATACGAAAGCAGAAGTTGTTTGGAAAAAAATATGTCCGGGCAGTTCTACACACGACACTCGAGCGTGGTCCGCGTGGACCATGAAGAGAGACACGCGAGCTCTTTTCCATCGTTAAAAATGTGTTCACGCGCATGCAATATTAGGTGATGAAGATTAATCATATTTCTCTATGTAAAGAAAGAAAACGTTATAAAACGAGCGCGAAAGGGAGAGAGTGTGTGTGTGTGTGTGTGTGCGCGCGTGTGAGAGAGAAGCTGAAGAAAAACGCGAAACGGAGAACGAGAGAGGAGCTATGAGAGACGCGAAGAACGAACAATAGAGGACTAACGAGAATACGGTCCCTCGCGATTGAACGAGAGAGCAATCGACGAGAAGACGCGGCAGAGCGATCGTATGTGTGCGTGTGTATAAGAATGCATGAGCGGGAGAAAGAGAGCGACAGAATGTTTGCGTGACAGAAAGAGAGAGAGAGAGAGAGTAATAAGATACGAAAGGTATGACTAAATCCAAAAAAGAAAAAAAAAATGGGTCTTGTGCAAGCCTCGGTTAAATTAAAGCAGAAAAGAAAAAAACTAATGAAAGAACTGTTATTGACTTAGGTCGAATTTTTTAAAAGTCGTCGCCGATGCGGAGTTTCTGCACAGAGAGAGAGAGAAAATAAAAAGAGTAGCGAAAAATCCAATTGTGATTCAAGTTCCGCGATCGGTGAGACGATTGATGAATTTTTAGAGCGAGCACGATTTTTAATAATTAATTCGCGGTGTATCGCGGTGCGCGCTCTTCTTTAACGATTCGTTGCGCGACGCTCGAGCTTCTTTTGGGCGATCCAGCGGTTTAGAGCGACGAGATCGATCATTTTTTGTGGCCTTTTGCTGAAAATCACCGGCAGTCGGGCTGTGTGGAACGACGACGACGGGCTGGCTTGATATTTGTCGACGCTGAAAAAGAACGAAGTGTGTTCCATTTGTCAGAGATCGAGGCGTATCTTTCGGACGAGTCTCTATCAATCGGCTGGCTCAGACGAACGGCTTAGCTCGCTGGATCGACAATCGACACGCTGACGCTTGAAGCAATAGCTCGATCGAGACGTCGCGACTATCGAATTTGCTCGTTAGAAAATCTGTTCGATCGTCGTGATCTCTCGATAATATCGATTAGTACCAATTTTAATTATATTCGATCGTTAGACTTCGGGTAGCAAGAATCTATCGATAAATTGTTCGGTCGATAAGGTAGATTTCTAATTGATCGTTAGAAAATAATTTTCGAGAAAAAAAGAGCTGCTTCGAGCGTTGGAGCGAATGAAAGCCCGTTTGTCTTGTTCTCACTGTTCGTACGTCTTCTCGGAAGCGTTTTAGTGTGTTCAGGTTGATCGTCTATCCTAATCGATATCGTCCAAATTGTTCGTTCCGGTGATCGAAGTTCTTCGTCAACCTGACCCGCTTCCGGTCCATCTAGTCATGCTGAGCCGTGCGTCCTGTCGGAGGATGAAATCGATCGGTCGTTTCATCAATTATTCTCGTTGTCATTTTTGATCCCGAGATCGGATCGATTTTTTATAAACGTGATTGTTATTTCACGAGGTGTTCCAAAATTCGCGGACCAATCGGTCGTGTCCGTCGTTTTTTCTACGCGAAGTTAACGAAATTCGACGTTTACTATCGGGTTTCCCCTCGAACTTGTAATTATTATCGTACTGTTGGTAAGATTGGTGTGTCTAGTCCACCATGGCGTTTAGGGATCATTCACCTCGATGGCGTCTCGTTGCTTCGTTCACCTGTCAAACATAACCAAAAAAAAAAAAAAAAAAGAGAAAAAACATTCGATCTTTCTTTCGATATTATCGTTGGAGCAATGAGAGGGCCATCCGACGTTGCAGATTCTGCTCGCCGTGGAATATAAATTATGTTCTTTTTCTTTTCATTTGTTTACGTTATTAGGTAACCGAAAACAAAAGAAAAACGATGGTAGGTCGAAATACGGGGAGTTGAAAACGAAATCAATGCACAGACCCGCAGACTGATATGGATGCAAATCTGAGAATCAAAATTTTGTTGACCGTCTCGTGGTTTCTCGGGGACGCAGTGTCTTACGGAATGATCTTCTGGTACTGATTTGTAATTTCGATCGAACGAGAAAACGACGAAGATCTTGAGTGGGAAGAGAGAGTAGAAAATAAAATAGGAGGTACCAAAAGAGAGTTAGGGCAGAGGGGATATGCGTGCGTGTGTGCGTGGAAGGGAGAGAATGGAAACACGTGCGATTGAGAGATTGAGAGAGAGAAAAGTAACAAAAAAAATAAAAAGACGTATAACGGGAAAAAGAACCACTAGCCAACGTATGTCATTCGAGTCAAATAATCATCGTTTCGTTGTCGTCGTGATGTACGAGCAGGGGAGAGAAAGAGAGAGAGAGAGAAAGAAAATATGTGAGCGAGAAATTGGAGAAAAACGTTTTTCAAGGTAATCGATCGATGTTGTAGGAACAGTGTCATTTAAAGTAGTAGATCGCTTCTACCAAAAATAAAAAAACAAGTCATCTCGAGAAAAAAAAATAAGAAAACCGGTTCACGTAATTTGAAAGTCCCGCTCGCCGTGTGACGGAGGCGCTAGAAGCGGCGCGAGATTCGAAAAAACGACGCGAAAGAAAATCCCCTTGTCGCTCCCCGTTTCTCCCCCACGAAACCCCTTCTCCCTTCTTTCTCGATCTTATCTTACACCCTGTTTCGATCGTGCGTCGAGTCTCGCGTTCGCTTCTAGCGTGCTTCCGACTCGGGGGCAAAATAAACGGTTTTTTATACAGTAGAATTGTACCAATCGTACCACATAGGAAAGAAAAAAAATGATGTTCGTTGTTCACTGCTCTGGCTTGCTAGAAACAGCAAAACACAGTAACTCGGGCCTCTCGGAGGCTGTTCGGACCAGGAGAGGCGCGAAAAAAAAAAACGAAAAAAGACTTGACCAATAACGAGCGTACATTCATTCGGAAGAACTTGCTCCGGACAGTCCCCTTCGTGCCCCCTGTATGAATCGGCAACATTTCGACATTGCAAGATTATTGGTGTACTTATCACGCAGTTTTCTACAAAATAAAGAAAACGATTTTGAAAAAAAAAAAAAGAACTGATTTATGTACATTATTTATTCCCTAACACCCCTGCTTATCAATCAACGAAAATTATTAATTGCATTTTATTAAAGCAGTTCAGAAGATTGCTTACAATTGACAGACTGCTTTGTCGACAACCTGCTTCCTGAAATTGTACCACAGACGAGGTACAGAATAGATCTATCACGTAATGTATTTTCGTGTCCAACGTTCTGAAATACCGATCGTGTAAAAAATCAGAGGTTTTGTTATGCCCTCTACGATATAAAGCGGTGACTTTGGGAATTATATGCAGTCCAACCATTAACGATGGTAAAGTCGACAGATGTGAAAGATCCTGATTTGGTAAATTTGCATATATTCCATTGCGTGGGTGGAACTTTGACG